AAGTAGAAAAAGAAAGGACCTTGGCTAGGTAACATATTCTCACATATGACAAAAAATTGTGACATCAAATTCTGTTTGAGATTACTAGTACAAGGTAAATTTCTTATCCTCTTCACACCAAAGAGTGGAAACACATAGAAAATCAATATAAAGAAATTGACTAATTAAAAGAATGCAGGAAAGTTAATGAAGACAGCTGAAACATTAAGAGAAGTTATCTTCACATGACCAGAATAATAATCGATCCAAAAATTCAAAGCATGGACATGAAACAGTTCAGATAGCTATTGCTCACCTTCACTAGTGCATGGAAACACCAACTCCCAGACATTCACAGTGCCATCTGAGGAGGTCGATGCAAATACTGCATCTTTCTGTGACATCATGATCCCACTGATACATGTAACACCTTTTATATGTGGTTGTGGTACTTGTAACACATGCCTCCACTGTCAACAAGATTACCAGCTAAGATAACAGGGTCATAACTCAGGAGTGTGAGCTTCCAATAAAATCATCAGCAGAAGAGCCAGTCTAAATGATCCAACTAAGAAATATTTCAATATTAAGAAAATGGAGGGAAGTATAACTCTTATAGCCGGACACTGACGGTGCAACGAAGTGGAACTAAACTAGCCTCACACATACACTAGAATAGCATGAATTGGTGGCTGGTGATCATAATACCTAAAAATCTCAACAATTTTTCCCATTTTGAGATAGATTCTCCTATCAATTCCCACTACTAAAATAGCAGGAGGGGCAAAGAAGAAAACTTTAGGGGAAAAAGAAAGAAGAAAAAAAAAAGAATTTTCTTGTTGCACTTCTTCAACCTTTTCCGGCGAATTGTATTCACTCATTTAATTCAGGCGAATAAACTGTTTTACTCATTTTACTTACATCTTAGGTGAACTGGAAGGGAGTGTATTCATGTCAAGCAGCAATAGGTAGTAGGGAAACCTTTTACATGTTCTAAGACTTATCCTTTCTCCTTCCACTAAATTTCTACCCTCTTTATCTTTTTTCATGATTCAAAACAGGTTAGGCATATTAAGTTTCAGGTATCAAGCTTAGACAAATGCTTGCTTCAGGTTTTCTTTTTTCTTTCCATTTTGCTCTTTACTGCCATGTATAAGTATGCACATCAAAATCACCATAATTATTTTCATTACCCGGCCTAGCCCCTAAAGGAAAGATCATTTAATGAAAAATTGAAATAGAAAAAGTCTGCAGGATTGAATATTTTACAAGCATTGAGATGACATCATTCCAATAACTGTTTCCTTCCCTAATCACTTATAACTCCAGTTGAAGAAACATGATCAACATTCATCATTGTAGAAGAAAGACCAAAACAGAATGTCGTAAACATCTAGTCATAGCTGCTGGTACACTTAATTACCACTGCATCTTATTTTTTAAGAAGAATTAAATGTCAAGATGTCCTACTTTACACAAATGCTTATAGATAGGCTTCACCAAATAGCAGATTCAACCGATAGTTGAAAATTACCTTCTTATCCAAAATAGTATACTCCCACAAAATAATGACACCATCAGCATCTCCAGATAGCAGATAGTGTCTTTCCATCTCCACAGCTGTAAACACAAAACTCTTATTAATTACCCAGTAAACTCAAATAACATCTAAAATAACCAAACATCTTACAACAAATGCAGCTTCAGAGCTATTACTTTTCAGGGCCATTGAATTAAAACTGGAAAACTCAAGCCAGGCAATGCTGACTTGCGCCACATGGTAAAAAGATTGTACCTTTATAAGCAAACTTTGCATTGGGAAGCCAGTAAGTGCAGTTGACTGATGCCTTGTGACCAGGAAGTGTAGTTAAAATCTGGGCAATCTGGCCCAAAAAAAAAAAAGAATACTTGAATCCCCAATTCCATATAAAAATATTCATGAAATTTCTTGAAAGAGAAAAAAGGAAGAACCTTGGGGCATAAGATGGCAACAGCGTTTTGAGAACCGAAAGCAACTAAATCACAGGCACCCCATGAAACGTTGTTAACTATTCTGTTACAACCTGCTCCAATGAATACTCTCTCCACTTTTACTTGCTGCATCCCATCACTCTTTGATCCCATGTTTTTCTTTTAATTCTTTATTTACTTCAAAAGCATTCAAAGCACTGAGGGAAGAAGTGAGTAGAATGTTGCGGGGGTTTTGGAGGGTTTAACAACTGGAAGAAGTGAGTTTCAGGCGCTTGCAGGGGAACCTGGAAAGGGAGAGAGGAAGGTTAGTTGTGGATGGGCTGTCCTGTCTCTAGTCTCTACTTAAGAGCCCGTAAAACTCAAATCATTGTCCTGTCTTTCTTCTTTTGCTATGTCCATTTTATGGTTTGGGTTGTTGTATTGAATTGGTTGGATTACAAGCCCACGCTCAAGGGGCGGTTTTATTTATTTTTTTATTCAGTTACGCTAATATTTCTGTAACTTAATAGATATATTCTATAAGAGATATAGATTAGACAAGAAATACTCTAATACTTTATTTGAATTTTTTTCATTGCAGAGATTCGAATTCCCTACCTACAATCCAAAGAGGACTCCCGACCAACAGTCCAAAGAGAAACTTAGGGGGCGCTTGGTAAGAGGGTATCGGATTCGCGGAATGGAATGAACCCCATAAATGGTGTTTGGTTCACTGGAATGGGAATTGAAATCTTGGAATGATTTCTAAAAATTTGGTGTTTCTCCATTCCCTAGTATTTTGGTGGGTTTTGTCCGATTCCCAAGTTTGATTCCAAGAAACAAATCCAATTACATATTATAATTATACAATGATATAATTAATATTTATATATATTATATTTATTATATATTATAATATATACATATATATAATATATTATAATTATAATATTAGTACATTATATAAATATATATTATATTTATATAATATATATATAAATTTATTAATATTATGTAATAATATATTTATAATATATATATATGTATATTTAATAAATGCATATTATATGTGCATATGATTATAATATACACATGTATATAATATTAATAAATTATATAATTATATTTATTATTTTAAATACAATAATATATAATAATTACTATATCTAATATTAATATGCATTATACTTATATAAAATATGAGTACAATTAATATTTATATATTATATAATTATAATTATGTACATATATATAATATATTATAATTATAATATTAGTACATTATATAAATATATATTATAATTATTCAGTTAAATATAATTATATTTATATAATATATATATAAATTTATTAATATTATGTAATAATACATTTATAATATATATGTATATTTATAAATGCATATTATATGTGCATATGATTATAATATACACATGTATATAACATTAATAAATTATATAATTATATTTATATTTATATTTATTATCTTAAATACAATAATATATAATAATTACTATATCTAATATTAATATGCATTATACTTATATAAAATATGAGTACAATTAATATTTATATATTATATAATTATAATTATGTATTTATTTTATAGCGTTTGTATAATTATAATTAATTATATATATAACATTTAATTTAATTAGTTACAAACTTATAATAATGATGTTATTGTATTATATAATTATATATTATAATTATTTAGTTAAATATAATTATACTTATATAATATATATTATAAATTTATTAATGTTATATAATATTATATTTATAATATATATGTATATTTGTAAATGTATATTATATGTGCATATAATTATAATATATACATGTATGTAATATTAATAAGTTATATAATTATAATAATTATTATTTTAAATATAATAATATATAATAATAACTATATTTAATATGTAATATATATTATATTTATATAAAATATTAGTATAATTAATATTTGTATATATTATATAATTATAAATTTATATATTTATATTTAATTATATATATAATATTTAATTGAATTAGTTACAAATTTATAATGATTTTATTATCTAAATTTACTAATACATTTATACTAATATATTTTCTAATACATTTATACTAATATATTTAATTAGTGAAAATTTCTTATATCTTATTTACAAAGAGCCAATAATTATCATTTACGATGTGGTTTATAATATATTTATTATATTCCATTCCGAAAGAGTCGACGAACCAAACATCAACTATAGTAATGATACACATTCCAGGTACTTGAACCAAACAAAAATATTGGAATGAATGACCTCATTCCAAACCCAAGATATGGTTATTGAGTGCTCCGTGGTTCTGAAGAGATGATTTTTATTTACTACTTTATTGTTTGTGATTAATTGGTCGACAACACCAAAAATACTAAATGGTGTAACGCTACCACAAACTTACAAACTTGAGGACTTCAATAAAAAGTTTCCCTCCAAAAAAAAAAAAGGAAAAAGAAAGAAAGTTGAAGCTTAAAAGTATACACTATCGTTTTGGAGCTTTTGTACTAGGTTCTAATCCCATTAATCTCAAAAATAACTTCAACTCATGTTCATCGAAAGAGGCAAACACTCTGCTCAAGTCAATTAGCTAAAAGCTGCATTCATGTGGCTTGAAAATGGAATTAGTTAGTAAATTGGTTCTTTGAGAACTGGTTTGATGGTTTTTTTTTTATTCCTCAATTCATTAAAACTTGAAATTTATTTTCTTTAACCTGTCAAATTTAGTTTATCACTAGTACTATATTGGTTGAGAAGTATATCACAGAATGAGAATTCGAATGAATGGGACCAAATGAAATCTTAAAATAGATGACTCTCAAATGAAGGATTTATATCGAATCTTTAGTAATGCAAATCCCTCATGACACGTGTATTCCAAAGCAACCTTCTTGGCTTTTGCTTCCATTTGACCCGACCCGTGCTCTTTTTCTTTTTCTTTTTCTTCTTTGAACTTTTCCTTTTTTTTATTCCTTCCGCAAAATCCGGCATTCAATCATTAAATTCATACAAGCACTTTCTATTCTCTTTCCTTTTTATTTTTTATTTTTTGGGACAAGGAAAAAATATATACCATGACGATTTTAGCTCAATCAGATATCCGTTCAGCCATGCATTTTGCCACCGCTTTCCGCCACCCTTCCACCGGTTTCAACCTTTCTCGTGCCATCATTTTCCGTCAGTCTCCTCTGCTGCCGTTGCGGAGGTTGGCCATCAGAGTCAAAGCCTTCTCAACCGACACCGACAAGAGCAGCAGCTCCGCCGGTGCTTCGAGCACCGGCGTCGGAAAGCTTCCTGAAAAGCCGCCGATTTGCACCGCCGATGAACTTCACTATGTAACCGTTAAGAATTCTCAATGGAGACTTGCTCTCTGGCGCTACTCTCCTCCCCCTCAGGTCCACAAAAATTCTTTATCTTGTTAGATGAAAAAAATTTATTACCTCCATTTTTGAAAAGATTACTCTATTGAGAAATTGTGATTGGAAATGTCATTGATTAGCTGAATTTGAAAAATGACAGGCGCCAAGGAGGAATCATCCGTTGCTACTGTTGTCAGGTGTGGGGACTAATGCAATTGGATATGATCTCTCCCCCGGGGTGGGTTAGTTAATTTAGTCAGTCAGTTTTGCTCCTTTTATCATCTACATTACCAATTTAATCCATCTTGTTATTAAGCATTAAACATCATGTCATCCTTTCCTTTCAGATACTCTTTCTAAATGAATTTGATGCTTTCTAAACATAAATTCATGAGTTGAGAGCTTAAGAAACATGCCAAGTTGGGTTGAATTTATAGTGGTTGGATTTTGTTATCATCAATGCCTTTTTAAGACCCGAGACTTCTTTTCGTTCCTCAACATGCTATATAAAGGGTTCTGAGAGTTTAACCCCCGCACCTTTGACACCTGCTAACTTGGAATGGGAGAAACTGAAGATGGAGAAATGAATTTGTGAGTTAGAGCTTAAAAAACATGCCAATTTCAGTACTTCATTGTGGTTGGACTTCATCTACGGTACACCTGGTGACTTGAAATGGGAGGAGCTGAAGTTGACTGTAAGTAGGATTAGCTTGACGAAAAAATATATACAAGAGAAGTCTTGGATCCATTCAGTATAAAGAGCTGAGATGCCAAATATAATCAATATAAATGTCTTTTTATTGAAAGTATTTAGTTGTATAAAGGTGCTATCTCAGGAAATCAGTTTTTCAAAATTATTTTATTCTATGCACTAAAAAAAAAAAGTTATAGATTTTAAAGATAACTTTGTATACTGTGTCTTGGGCGTGAGGGTGTTTAATACTCTCAATTTGGCTTCTGAGATTGAAAAAGATTATCAATCTTGATCTTCCTACTGATTTTGCAGTCTTCATTTGCCCGTTACATGTGTGGGCAAGGATTTGACACATGGATCCTTGAAGTTCGTGGTGCGGGTTTGAGCATGCAGGAGTCAGATGCCAAAGACATTGAGAAGTCGGCTTATGCTATATCTGAAGAAATGGAAGCAGCTGCTGAGGGTGCAACTAATGGTGCACCCTCTGCAGTGCAGAAGTCAACTGTTAACCAAAATAAGTCAGCAGAATCTAAGGTTTCTGCAGTTAATGAAGATGTTTTGGGGATTCCTACAGCATGGGATGAATCAAAATTGGTGGCAAAACTAACAGAGACTTTTATCAGTTTGTCAGAAAGATTCTCTGGCTTTCTCAATGAAAGTCAGTCAAGAATTATGTCTGCTAAATTATTTGATCAGATATCTAAATTATTAGAAGATTCTTTTCTATTTGAACGCTTTAATGAGGTAAGGGGGAAACTGTTGAATTTACTAGAAACCAGACAGAGTTCTGCAGTTGCTGGCCAAATAAGAGATTTAAGTCAGAAGCTAGTGAATATTGTAGAAGAGGGACAGCGTTCTGTTTCGCCTCAGTTATATGATCTACAGGAGCGTCTTGCAACAACTATAGAAGATTTCCAGAAACAACTAGACTTGATTGTCAAGTACGATTGGGACTTTGATCATTACCTGGAAGAGGATGTCCCTGTGGTGGTGAGGTGACATTTGCCCTTTATCATAATGTATGAGATATTAACAACATATAAGTTTTCTCTTCAGATTAAGTGGGCAAATTATGGTGAATCTTCTTTGTGGCAATTTACTGTCATCTTTGTTGATACATGTAGATGGAATATATAAGGGCCCAAAGTGGATCTCGGGATGGAAAATTGCTTGCAATTGGACATTCGATGGGGGGCATCTTGTTGTATGCCATGCTATCAAGATGTGGTAAGACTCAAATGTTGTTTTCATGTTAAATTGATGTCTTAAGGTATAAAAGTTGTTCTATGCTGTAAGTTGGACAGCTCCTAGCATCCTCTCATTTTGTTATTAATTATTTGTTTTAATTTTATATATTGTTTTAAATTCACATACTAATGTCTGCTCAATAGAAAATTGGAGTCGAAGTATAGATGCTTGAGTTTTCCTGTCTAAGTCATATGGTTCAATTTTTAAGCCTTCAAGGGAAGGGAGTCTGGATTGGCTGCTACTGTTACGTTGGCCTCTTCACTTGATTACACAACTTCTAAGTCATCGCTCAAACTACTACTACCCCTTGTAAGTTGAACATGATTCTTGGCCTATTCCTTCATTTATGTTACTGCATTCCACTGTGAAATGCAACTAAAAGAAATGAATTTGGTGCAGGCTGATCCCGCTCAGATTCTAAATGTGCCTGTCGTTCCATTAGGAGCATTACTTTCTGCTGCTTATCCTCTCTCATCTAGTCCTCCTTATGTCTTGTCTTGGCTTGTGGATCTGATATCAGCCCCGGACATGATGCATCCAGAGTTGTTAAAGAAGTTAGTGTTGAACAACTTCTGTGAGTATAGATGTCTATCCTACTGCTACAGTGGTTGGTTATCACTTCTTCATTTATACGTGACACTGTCATGTCATAATATTGCCAGGCACAATACCTGCTAAACTTCTGTTGCAACTGACGACTGCTTTTCGGGAGGGAGGACTACGTGACAGAAGTGGTAATTTTTTTTACAAGGAACATCTTCATAAGTGCGATGTCCCTGTCTTAGCTATTGCAGGAGATCGTGACCTGATTTGCCCGCCTGAGGCTGTTTATGGTATGTATTTCTAGGTCTTGACGTATGGATATACTCTTTTCCTATGATATGAAACTTTTCTTACAATCGACTTGATCAGAGACCGTGAAACTGCTTCCTGAGAACTTGGTAAGCTACAAAGTATTTGGGGAGCAGGATGGCCAGCATTATGCTCATTATGACTTAGTAGGAGGAAGAACGGTAACTAGTTATAAGCTTTCCTTGTTCCACCTTCTTGGTTATCAAAAAGAACTTATTTGCATTTCATAATGGCTCATGTTTTTGCTATTATGTCCAGGCCGCGGAAGAAGTCTATCCGTGTATAATCGAATTTTTAAGCCATCATGACTAAACCCCAAAATTCTTTTGCCGGGCTGCAATTGTCTTACTTCATGGGTATAATGAACCTCTTGTACTCCTGTGTCGGCTGTAGTGTGCTTTGGTGATGATGAAAGATTAAAATTGCTGGTAAGTCTATTAAGAAGCCGTACAAGTTTATCTGCAACGGTATTGAGTTATACATGTTTCTGATACCATTCCATTGTCAAGAATCTTATTAGTGGTTCTTTTATTTTATAGGAAATCCATTGTTGTAGGTATTTAGCTTATGCTCAACCACTCTTGGAAGCCTGAGCAGAAGTCCTGGCTTCGAGTGGCAATCTGTTGTTTCATTTATTCTGTAGTTATTCTGTATTTTTTTTGCCTTCATCCCTTCTTTTTTGTGGGGATAATGGGTCATGATGAGTAAAAACTTTACCAGGCAATAAAAAAAAATTGCAGGTTGATTTAATTTATTGCTGAAACAAGTTAACATGATCTGTCTTTTGTAAATTACCTGCTCGTCATGTATTGGGGAGAGTTGTGTTGCTGGATGTGATTTGATTTGTACACAATTCGCAGCGCCTTCTTAAAGATATGTATACGGCTCTCATAAATTTGGAGTTTCAATTGATCAACTGTTTTGGAGTAAAGCTATCTCTCTGCCCGTCTTGAACTTTCAAGGGAAATCACGAAATCAAGTACTTGTGCTTTAAAACGTAAGTAGGAAATACATGGGAAAATAAAATTCCAAGCACGGACATTAAAAGGACTTGTGCTTGCCTATGCATATTTGACATGGCATATCGGATACATTTCTGCCTAAAATTGGAGAAATTGATTTCAGTGTATATGAGAACCGAAGTTTGATAAGTGAGGCTGGAAAACAATACTGATCGCTTCATTTGTCAGCAATGGGTGCGATTTTGCACACAGGGCATTGGTTCTTCTGCTTAAGCCACTGCTTTATGCAATCAATGTGGTGGCAGTGTCCACAGCCAAGTCGCCCAACATCATCCTTAGCCTTGCATTCCTCCTGCAATTGGAGAATTGTTTCATTCATAAGCATCTCCAAAATAATCTGGTAAACTGTAGTCTGAAAGAGCTAGTGTAATGTGATCAATACAAAAGCCCCATAATTTCTCAACTAATTTTGCTTGTTTTTTGTTGGTTATCTTGAGTTTAGCAATCTTAATTACTTGAGTTATGACGGGCTTATAGAAAAAGCGACCCAACTCTTCCATGTGATTTGCTCTTACACAACAAGATTCAATGTTGGAGCTAAAGTCTCCGCATACCCAACTTTTTTTTTTCAGCTTAGCTCTGCAAAAGTTCCTGTTTAATACTCTTTTTTTTTTTTTTGTGTTTTTAAGCATTATGGCATAAGATTTCAATTCGCAAGGCATTCTAATTGCTTTGTTGGCTTGGAGCCATAAAATGTTTGTGAGAGGGTGAGATTGATGACTAACTTGACAAATGGTACACCTCCAGCCTTCGTCCAACGACATCAGCAATGGTGCAGACTCGAAATCAGATGGCTCAAGTATAGTTAAGCAGCTGAATATGTCTTCTTCACTCAAACCTCTGCCTACATATCCAATTTCATCGCTCAATTCAAGCAGTTCCTGCAGTAGCAATCAAGAAAGTAGTTTAAGATGCCTGTGTTCAATAATGCAATGTGAACTGGAAAAGCTTTTCAGACACAATCCCAGACCAGAAACTAAATACCTCATATGACATCCTATCAAGATTGAGTCTCCAGTCCATGTATTGATCTAAACTTCTTTCAAAGAGTGCAAATACCTAGAAGACATGATTAGAATACGGATCAGAGCTTTGAGCTGAAAATGTGAAGCAATTATCAGAAGGAACTTGAAACATCTGTCTGTTATACCTCTATGAATCCTCTATGAGAATATTGACCCAATTGATGATAGTGTCTAGCATTGAATGAATGGTCTCTGGAGAATATAGAATTTGAGGGTCCTTGTGAAGATGAAGCAGAGAAATGCTGGATGTTTCTAGTTCTCCTAGCTACACGGGAATGCTAAAAAAGACACAGCAATTCAAGATGTATCATAAAACAAGCACCAAACTTTTCTTGGCTGCCAATAATGATGAATTTTCAGTAAATGCTAAACCTGTACATGCGTTGTCCTCTGAGTGGTCATGCTTGGTCTAGGAACAACATCAGAAGCAAAACTGATCCCTGGAGGAGTACAGCATATATCAGGAACATCAACAGCAACATTATCAGGAATCCTGGCTTTACTAGGCGGTCTATTCCCCAGGTTCTTCCTCCTCCTTTTCTCAGTCTCCCAATCAGCTGCAGACCGGATGATTGTCGATTCTGATACCCGAGTTGAAGTCCCTTTACAACCCAGTCCTCCAAGCCTTGCCAACAAAAACATTTTCTTGGGCTTTTGGCTGATCAAAGGTTCTCTAGATTCAGTCGTACCATTTCTGCTAGGTGATTTAGAACGCTGCAGATCAGGAAAGTTGGGGCTCTGAATGGAACAATGAAATTGAGAATGGTTAAAATCTGAGGCTGCATTTGGTTTCTTTCTCGTTGGCTTCCTGGCCTTAGGCTCTTCAACTATTGAAGGGGTCATGCTTGGGCATACAAGAGGCTAAAGTGCAAATTTTCACAGAAAAATAAGATCAAAGTAGATCATCTATTACAGCCCTGCAAGTTTATTGCAATATCAGTAGCTGAAGGGGGTTGAACGAAAATATTCTCACAAGTCACAACACGGTTGTCAATAATATGCAACGTTCTGAAGTATCCATCATCTTGTTTTTGTTTTGTTTGTTACAAACAAAATTTTTGCTGTTTTTTTAGTACTTCTCCTGTATATTCTTTCGTACTATTTGCCTGCTAATTGTGCTGTCAATAATTGTTTGAACTCGTACACCTAACACTGGAATATATTGAAGCGACACCAAATGTGAGGCATTACATTCTTTTGAAAAAAATTACTTCTCCCTTGGCTTTTCTAAAATCAAGCTGGCCTTGGTCACTCATCTCATTTTCTCTTCTTTTGTATCTCTTAATTGTTAAATTTCATTTGTCTACTAACTCAGCTTCTGTTTAGGAATATCACTCAAGCCCAGTGTACTTGTCTAGGGAAGAAAGGCAAAAAGAGAAAATTTAACTGAACGAATTGGGAAAAAAAACCGGGGAAAGAAAAATTTGGTAATTTCTCCCTCATCTTATTTGGGAGTTTAAGCAAGTAAAAACTTCTATAAGATGTAAAGTATTATTGTCGGTTTTCTTCAAGAGAGATCTTTCATAGTCACATTTCCATTTTTTATTTTTGTGGTTTTGGGTGGCTGGCGGTGTGGGTTGTGGGGCATCTAGTCCCATTTGAACTAATTTTGGCTGTTTTCAATGGGGACATTGATGGATCAAGCCATTTGTTTGCAACTTCTTGAGGAAACATAAGAAGATAAATGGTTGGTAAGGACCAAAAGAGCATAAAACGAGAGAAGCCAAAGTGCATTTCTTCTTGCCTTGCAAAATTACGTGCTTGTAAAACATGTTGCCTATCATGTTGCTCTACTACAAGTAGTCCCTAAGACAATGCAGATGCTTTTGATCAGTGTTTGGAGACACAAATGTCAGGTCAAATGTGGGAGCACAGATGCATCTTCATTTTCAATACTCCCTTAGAGTATGGCATGAAAAGATTGTGATCGGGTTAGGACAAAAAACCATATGTTTTCCTTGATGTATAGCACTTTAACAATCTCCTAGCTGTCAGCATCGAAGTTCCTTCAGATAGGAGTTGAATTCCTTGCAGAGATCATTATTCTACTGTAACTGTAAGATAATCTCTAGAAGAACCCGAATTTTTGGCTATTGGAGTTGAATATTCGTGTTTAAGATAGTTCAATGTAAGTGAAAAGCTGCAATTGAAATAACAGTGCATCGTGCTGGACACTTTGGCAGGGATAAAACTCTAGCCTTTGTTCAGGAAAAGCTATTTTGGCCTAAAATGACTCAAGCGGAAGAATACCAGCACGTTTTTTATGAGCAATTCTTGTTCTTTTCACTTGTTTGATTCTTTAGAAATCAAGTTTTGATTTCAATCCCTAGTCATGAAATTAAATTTCGGAATCAATCCATTGTCAATCTTAGTTGGAGCAAAGTCGGTTCCTTTTATCATGCAGTTAGCAATAGTATTGCCGCAGCCCAAAAATCTTTGGTGTGGCCAGCTATTAGTCTGAAAACATTTTCGTGAAAAATAAAACCTCACTCTGTAGGCTGCTGCATCACGTATGTTTTGACTGCTTGATCAATTCTCATACGAAAGAAGTTGCGGATCTAAATTGCTGCTGCAGAATATATAGTAATGAAATTAACATGATACTAGTTGAGGCTACTGGAATTCTGGAAAAAGTAAAACATAATCGTAACGTAATGTTTGCACCATTTTGTGGGATTGATTAATCTTCTTGTGCAAGTAGTAGGTATCATGACATGCAGATACCATTCTGAGCTACCCGAATACTGACACAGAATCATGCTCGATTGCCAGCAAAGATCTCAGGCGTACTGTAGAGATGCAAAATCCAAACTTGCCCTTGATGGGATCTTCTGGCCCATCCTATCCCATCCCTTGTTCTTCTGTTCTTTTCCTAACTTCTTGAATTCTTCCATGTTATGAATGGCAGAATACATAACTACATAACTACCACTAAATGATTAGTGATGGGATAAAGGCTTTCTTGTCTTCCATGTCCCCACTTGAGCTTGCATTTCTGATGCCTGGTTTATTGCTTTGTCACCAGGTGTTTATGTCACATACACTTATAAAATGGAAAGTCATAGTCTAATGCTGTAGCAAACCCACTTTATCACTTATTCTGAGATAGTCATTTCTGCTGAATCAATGGATTCAAATGCATCAAATTACCATCTAAATCATGCAACTCTCCCCCAAGTTTATTACCAGGGGAAGGAGGCTGACAATATCATTGACTTGGGCCTTAGCCTAAGAGTTTTGCAGCCAGAGTCTTATCATCCATCTCCTCATGGTAATAGTATATAACCTTTCATAGAAGTAGGTTTATTGCTATCACTATACTCTACAAACTAGTCAAAAGAGTCATGTTATGATGAAGCAATTGACATGTCTGCAGTAGAAAGCATATGAAAGTTGTCATTTCAAAGAAGTAAAGCGTCAGTGATGATAGAGTCTGGAACGAATTGTTAATACAAGGTTTAGTTCATCACTATTTTCATGCCCCTAGGAGTTTTGGTGTGGACTGATGTAGTTTGGTACCCTCTGATGCAAAATTTCCAATCCAAAACCACCACAGCATCTCAGTAATGTATATTTTCAGCATGCAACTTTTGATTGTTTTGCTGGTATTGTTACAATATACATGAAACTAGGCAATTACCAACTACAGCAACACAATATTACTGAACAGTGTTATGTTTGCTATTGCCGTAAACAGCAGATGACTTTGATGTTCTGATAGACTGGCACCAGCTGCATCCCCGGATGAAAAATTCAAAGACTGATTATCCACAAAATATGGTGGGAAATCATGATGATGAAACTGAGGGAATTCAAAGCAAGGAGCGTTGGTCATATGTGAAAGTTAACATGGATGGAGTAATAGTTGGCAGGAAAATCTGCATCCTTGACCATATGGGCTACTCTGATCTTGCACTTCAACTAGAAGAAATGTTCGGTATAGTCTAAGAATCTTCAACTGCTTTTATTATTATTATTATTATTTTATTTTTAAGATTCAGCGAAAGTTTTCTTATTTTCCAGGGAAACAGTCTGTGTATGGTCTGCGACTGTTCCAATCCAACTCGGAATATTCCCTGCTATATAGGGACAGAGATGAGCATTGGAGGACTGTTGACGATGTTCCTTGGAAGTAAGTTCTGTTGTCAATGAACATGGCCATTAAGCTATGAACTTCCCCTTTTCTGTCAGTACTAATTTATCTCAATTCCCATCATTTTTATAGTTCGATCAGATCAAACTAATGTATGATTAAGCATAGCAATCATATGATCCCTGACGCTCATTCTGATGATTCTCAACAGTAATTTTGTAGAAAGTGTCAAGAGGCTGAGAATTGTGCGGAAGGATGAAGCATTTAGTCCCTCTTCATCAGCATTGCTTAATTCTCTCTAACACTGAGTCTTAACAAATAGTGTGGACTAAGACAAGTTTAGGATCCACCTGCTACAACCTCAACTAAACTATTCTGGTTCTCCCTCAATGATTATCAACTTAGCAAGCTTGATCTTCTGAGTTGTTGCTTGCATTGTATTTCTTTGTATGATTTATTCTTCACCAAAATGGATTACTCAGTGACAAGCTGATGGATTGGAAACCTTTGTTTGGCTGAGAACTCTATAATTCTCGTTTATCACCATTTAGATTTGGTTGGCTATAAGATACTACTGTCTCACCAATACAGTGGAGTGACAGTTTTATCCCAAATGCTGTTGCAGAATCATTTACCCACAGAAACAGCAGTAATTCATTGTTCATTTTCAAAGTCAAAACTACAGATATCATTCTGAAGAGTGATTTCCGAACCCTTCACATGTCTTGAATTGAGGATCTTGTTAACAATTACCAGCATATATTCTAAGGCAGAGAAGACAATTGCAAAATACTTTCTCTGTTTTCATCAAGTAGTTTAGAAAACTGCAACCTTTGACTAGTGAATGCCGGATCTATTGGACATTGTGTAGATTTTATACCTATATGTTAGTACTATTATAGGGCGAATATTTGTTCTAAAAGCTACAAGTGCTAAAGGACAACTGTATCAACCCAATAAGCCACTATATGCCCCCCAAAAAGAAAGAATACTACAATCCATGATCCTAGCTTCCTTTTTTTTTTTTTTTTTTAAAGTTTTTTGCTTAAATTTCTTTTTATGCCAAGTCTATCCATAATAGTGGTCTAGTTTACGGAAAAAAAAAATTATGCGTTCTAAAATTACAACTTTCAACTCTTAGCTGGCTTACTGGGTCCTAATGTATATATATATATGTACTCTTTTATATTCCCATTCATGCATTTTCCAAAGGGATAATTTCAGAAACCTCCCTCGAGGTTTCTAACAATTTCATCTAGTATTCTTGAGGTTTCCAATATTACACTTACCTGCCTTGATCCTATAAAATGACTATAATGAACTTAACATATTAATATTTTTCATGCAATTAAATAATACGCTCCTAATCTTGTGCATAGAAATGCACCACACAATTAAATATTCAATGGAAACAAAAACAAGATCACTTATAGAATAACTAATTATGTCCTAAACATAATTCTAACATATTACAAATTAATTTTAGTTTGGCTTGAAAGATCTAAAGATGAATAGAAAAAGATATAAGTTGAAGATTTAAATATAACAGGCATGAATTGGTACTCCAATATTTGAGGGATGAGATGTTATATTAATACAGTTAGTGAAATTTTTTAAGTTTAACAGTACTGATTTTTTTAATCTTTTGTGACTTAGATTGAGATTTTAGAATTTAAGCACTAATGGCAACGGTGGTCATGATGATAATGGCACTAATTTGAAATGTAAGAATATGAAAGTTTAAAATAGTAGACACGAGAGTTGAGAGTGGGTTTGAGATTTTGTGCATATTTCGTACTTTTTTTTTTATAGAATTTTATAAGAAGGTAAAAGGAACTTCACAATTTCATGAGGGCAATTTGGGTTATTCATTCAAAATTTTGACCATTGAATAATTTTTGTCACCAAAATGGTAAATTCAAGGGAGGTATGTATAATTTTTAAAACTTTAAGGGTACTAAATGAAATTGTTAGAAACCTCAAGGGAGGTTTCTGAAATTATCCCTTTTCCAAATTTCAATCTCCAGTAGTGCCCAACTTTCCAGTCTATTCATTGAGCATGAATGACGGCCCATCATCACCTCAAATTGTTGAAAAACAATTCTCAGCTCGTGATGCTGATTGCATGGAATTGACCAGAAAAATCCCAAAACGAGAACCTCATCTCCTTTAAAGTCAAAATAATCCAATCAATGGAAATAACAGGCTGGACTCCTTAAAATCCTGAATACTCGCAGGACCCATTTCTTTATTCATCCGACCCGGACCACTGCCTATGTTGTCCCACTTCTTCCATGCGGATGACTTGCAAATTTCCGTCCTCCATCCATAAAGGCACTTGCCAACTGTATATTCTTCCATTGATGATCTCTAAAGTCTACATTCTGAGTTGGACTAGGAGAAAAGGATTGCAAAGAGTTGAATACATAATATCCAATTTATTCCGTGAATTTATGTACGACAGTGTAAGTATTTATACCCGTTTCACATGTACAAATTTTTCGTGTTTACTCGTAAAAGAGGAGCTATCATTTCATGTCTTGCACTATTTAATTCTTACTCCCTCCATTTTTTTATAACTGACGTTTAAGAAATTTGCTCTAGTGTACTTTTATCTGTTGTTTTATTATCTCCATACAATATTAATTATTTTTTCACAATTTTACCCTTTTATCTCTCTTTTCCAATACAGGGTTCTTAATTACTACTTCTAGTAATTATTGCTTCTCTCTTTGTAACAACCCTAGTAATTATCTACCCATCCGTACTCTAGTGAGAGAAAACATGGGTGAATTGGACAATTAATGAGGGTACAAAAGGAAAGTAGTGTACAGATTTAAGTAATGAAAAACTTTTCTTAATTGGTGTGCAAAACATTAAACGTCAGTTATAAAAAAAGGGAGGGAGTATATTTTAAATAAGATTACAAAGGCGAGCTATTTTTTTTATATATATCTTCTCAGGATTTGAGTAATGTTCATTGGACAGCCGTAAAGAGAGACTATCATAAATGCAAGAAAAGGAAATGAATATGATGTATATAGTGATATGATAAGTTAATTATAATTGTACTATCGTAAATTCCTTGCATTTATTGTCTCTTTTTTTTTTTTTTACAGTTTAACAGCAAATTTGTGTTGCCTAAATTATAATATTATTCTTTGATAATACACGTTGTACAGCCATATGATTTTTGCTCATAGGGTTAGAGTTGGAATATTACTACATTGACAAGTTTCCTAACTCTAATCTTGCATCTTAGGACCATGAAACGTCTATTGAAGTATCGATTGAATCTTACAAGTGTAGATGCTCGACTTTAGCTGCAGATCATGATGGTGTCCCCAAGCCACAGAGCCTACTCATGCCTCAACATGCTCATGCTCATTTGTAAAGGGACATCCAAGTGTCTGGTCCCTTTGCTCCGTCTTCACTCCTAGGCCAATTGCATCCCTTGCATGGTTATAATCCAATAAAACAGACACAACAATGATTCATTATGGTACAATATCTGGAAAGGTGAAGTTGGTAGATTGAAGAATAGGTTCCAATCTTGGTCACTATGATTTAAGTATAGCTGAAATTCATGAAACCAACTTTCTATGTCAAGGTGAAGTTGGTAGATTGAAGAATGAGTTCCAATCTTAGAAACTATGATTTAAGTATTGCTGAAATTCCTGAAACCAACTTCTGTGTCCCAAAAGTGTAGTTACAACCATATTTAATTAATTGTAACCCTACATAACTCAAGTATGAAGACAACGGACCTCTTTTGGGAGGCTTACTTTCGATTGATTGAGAAGTTGATAAAAAAAAAAAAATACAAGTCGAGATTTTTTTTTTTTTTTTAAAACAAGTGAACATGAAATGCGGATTAGGGGTGCTATTGAGTCGATTCGAGCTCAAGTATCATTATACTCGAGTTCAAACTCGATCAATACCAGTGCTATTCGAAGTTGAACTCGAACGAGTACGTAACATTAAACTTGAGGCAAACTCGAGAGTTGTAATTAAGTTCGAACTCGACTTGATTGAACTTGAGAATATTGCGAGTCTTTTTGAGCTCGAGCTATTCGAGTTCAAGTCTGATTTTTTGCTAAGACATGAACCCATAATAGTAATTTCATAATTAAAAATTATATATATTTTATAAATAATACAACTACTCAATTAAACTCATTGACCAGTCAAGTACTAAATTCTTATGTTCGGACTCAGACTCGCTATATACATCGAGCAGATCGAACTCAAGCACGAACTCGAACTCTGTTTGACCGAGTTCATGCCGAGTATTTGACCAAGCTGCTCGCCCACACCCCTATTACAGATTAAGCTCACTTAGATTTAAAGATTATTTTTGGAGTTTCCAATATGTCACCAAAAGAAAGTTGATTAACTTGGAATTATACGATTTATGTACCCAAAAAAAAAAAAAATCGGCTAACACTTTTCCAATTCGCCAAGTCTCAAATAGAAGTATAACGCGAACCCAAATTAGCATATATACAATTAATTCTTTTTAAAATAAGAAAGTGTCTCCAAAAAGACAAAGTAATTGGCAGGCCCCCATCTGCTTAAAGGAAACATCCATTGATCAGACTATCATATTAATCCACTCACGAGGCATGTTGAACAATTCAGATACACCAACATAGGGCCACCCTTTCTTTTTTTTTTTTTTTTTTTTTTTTCCTAACGATAATAATCATAGGGCCACCCTTTCATACCCAAAAAAATGCAAAAGCATGTAGACGGCCACATTTTCCAGCTGTACATTAGCGGCCAATAGTGCACTGAGTAATTTTGTATGATTTGTGCATGTTAAGTGCCATTTTTTGAACCCTATTGAACTTGTTAACATGGAAGAGAAAGAACTTTAATGCAGGAGAGGGACTACGAAAAGACAAAAGGTCTGCAATAAGAGCATGAGACAACATTCTTTGGGCAAATGCACACGTGAAAGATACAACTACTAAAATCTTTCAGTCTATGCCAGATCCACCCACATTTCGTCCCTTTCAACTGAAAGAATGTGAAGCTTGCATTTTGCATATTACACGAGAACCTACAGTAGGATATGAGGCAATAGTACAGGACATTCCAATTCCTCTAGATTGTGGTTTGACAATTTCTCCCATAATGTCAACAAATGGAGCCTAACTTTTGCAAGTTTGAGGTAAGGAAAAAAAAAGAATATCACTCAGAACAAATTACATTCACAAAATTTTACATTATTCTCATTCAGAAGACACAGGTAATCTTTCCAAAGTGTCCAAGACATGCCTCATTGATGGTCTTCTATCAGGACTAGTTTGTATGCATGCCATTGCAATCTTCAGAACCGCGATCATCTCCTCTTCTTTGTCAGCATCGTCAGCTAAAAAGGGATCTAAAACATCGGATAGAGGTTTTTTCTCTTCAATGCATAGCTGCATCCAGTGAACAATGTCTATTTCAGAGGTGCCTACCTGCACTAGAGTTGATTTTCCAGTAATCATTTCCAGCAGTATCACACCGTATGAGTAGACATCCCACTTCTGTGATGGCTTAACCACTTTCAGTGACTCCGGGGCTTGGTAAAAGGACCCAATACTTGCAGCGGAAGCAACTGTGCCAACTTCCGAAGGTGCACTCCCTTGTTGCCTTTGTTGTGGCTTCTCTGAGATCATTCGACTTGACTGCAGGGTTGGGGATCCTCCGGCAATGTTAGCA